TGATCCACCCGCCTCGGCCTCCCAAAGTGCTGGGATTACAGGCTTGAGCCACCGCGCCCGGCCCGAAAGAACCAATTTTTGATTTTCTTTTTTATTTTTCCTATTCTCTATTTCATTGAACTCTAACCTTTATCATTTCCTTTTACTGTTGGCTTTGGGTTTAGTTTGCTCTTTTTCTAGTTTTTTAAGATGTAAAATTAGATTGCTGATTTGAGATCTTTCTTTTTTAATATAGGCATTTACTGCTATAAATTTCTTTCTGTTCTGCTTTTCCTGCATCCTATATATTTTGGTATGTTGTGTTTTCATTTTCATTTATCTCAAAGTACATTCAAATTTTCCTTGTGTTTTCATCTTTGAGCTATTTAAGAATACATTGTTTAATTTTCACATATTTCTAAATTTTCCAGTTTTCTTTCCATAATTGACTTCTACTTTAATTCCATTGTGGTTGGAGAAGATGAATTTATTGAGACTTGTTTTGTGGCCTAATAGATGGTGTATACTGGAGAATGTTCCGTATGCATTCCAGAAGAATGTGTATCCTTTTGTTTTGGACTTGGTGGGGGAGTCTATAAATGTGTGTTAGGTCTAGTTGGATTATACTGTTGTTCAAGTCCTCTATTTTTTTATTGGTCTTCTGTCTAGATGTTCTAGTTATTTTTAAAAGTGATATAGAAATCTCCAACTATTACTATAGAACTATTTCTTCCTTCAATTCTTTGAATGTTTACTTTACACATTTTGAGACCTTGTTATTTGATTTCTATATGCTTATTGGTACATTTTCTTGATGAATTAACTCTTTTGTTAATATATAATATCTTTCTTGGTCTTTAGCAACAATTGTGTTATTGACGTCTATTTTATCTAATGTTAGTATAGCCAACCCAGCTCTTTTTTTTTATTACTATTTGTACAGAATATCTCTTTATTCTTTCACTATTAACCTATTTGTGTGTCTTCGAATCTAAAGTGAGATTCTTTTTTTTGTTTGAGACAGAGTCTCACTCTGTTGCCCAGGCTGGAGTACAATGGTGTGATCTCAGCTCACTGCCCCAGGTTCAAACAATTCTCCTGCCTCAGCCTCCTAAGTAGCTGGGATTACAGGCATGCACCACCATGCCTGGCTAATTTTTGTATTTGTAGTAGAGGTGGGGTTTCACCACATTGGCCAGGCTGGTCTCAAACTCCTGACCTCATAATCCACCCACCTTGGCCTCCCAAAGTGCTGGGATTACAGGCCTGAGCCACCATGCCTGGCCTAAAATGAGATTCTTATAACATCTTGTAGTTGGATTATTTTTCTTTATCCTTTTTACCAGTCTTTTTTAATTGGTAATCTTAATCCATTTACATTTAAGGTGATTACTGATAAGGAAGGACTTCTGCCACTGGCTACTTTTTTTCCTACAGATGATATTTGTTTTATGTTATGCAGTGTTTTCAGTACCCTCTTCTTTTGTGTTTGATTATTTTTTTTAGTGTATCATTTAAATTTACTCCACATTTCCTTTTGTGCATATTTTTTAGTCATATTCTTGGTGATTATCAAGGGAATTATAATTCCCATTCTACTTTTTTTTTTTTTTGAGATGGAGCCTTGCTCTGTCACCCAGGCTAGAGTGCAGTGACGCAAGCTCTGCTCACTGCAAACTCTGCCTCCCGGGTTCAAGCGATTATCCTGCCTCGGCCTTCCAAGTAGCTGGGATTACAGGTGTATGCTAGCACACCCAGCTAACTTCTATATTTTTAGTAGAGACAGGGTTTCTCCATCTTGGCCAGGCTGGTCTCTAACTCCTGACCTCATGATCCACCTGCCTTGGCCTTCCAAAGTGCTGGGATTACAGGCATGAGCCACCGTGCCCAGCCCCACATCCTACATTTATAACAATTGAGTTTGAATTGATACCAACTTTTCTTTAATAATATACAGCTCCATCCCTCCTTCGTGTTGTTATTGTTACAAATTACATCTTTAAATATTGTTTCCCTATTAGCATGGATTTATAATTATTGTTTTAGGCATTGGTATCTTAAATTACATAGGAAACAGAAAGAGGAGTCACAAGCCAAAAATACAGTAATACTGCCTTTATATCCCTAGTCTACTGGGTTCCTCTACATAGTGACTTGAGGGGCACTTCAAATTTATTGGCACCTAAACTAAACTCATTGTCTTTCTCTATCACACTATTTCTCTCTCTCCTGTGTTTCTTGTTTCAGTGAATAAGAAAAATATAAGTGAGGAGAGTTTCAGAGTTCTTACGAATTATTTATTTACAGAGATAATCCTTGTAATATCCTTCTGCCACCAATGTATGTAATACCTGCGCAAATGAATTTGTAGGTTGCTGATTTAGTAAGGTTTATAGGAATTTTACATATATCTGGAAAAAGTGTTCACTCTCATTTACCAAATAAATGGAAATGTAAATGAGGTAGAAAGGAGTTTTGTCTATTAAAGTGGCAAATATTGTACAATTTTTTAAATCCCATATTGGTTTGTTTATAACAAAACCAGCATTCTTAACCCAAGTTTTAATTAATTAAGCTTTACTGGAGAGGAATTTTGCAAAGAGACTTAAAATGTCTATACCTTTTGATTCAGCAATTTCCTGTCTAGTACTGTTTCCTAAATAAATAACTAGAGATGTACATAAAGGTTTGTTATAATATTTTCATAATGTTGAAAACTCATAAACCATCTAAATAAAAGTGAGAAATTCGTAATATAAGTCGTAATATATCTGATACATGAGTATGTAATTGTTAAAAATTAGTCTTTGTTCAACCTAAGGAAGCAAAAAACTAAATAAAGAGAGGGAGAAAAAAAGAAAAATTAGTCTTTGATGTGCTCTTTACAATAGCAAAAACAGGGATATAATGACAGAATCAGAATTCAAAAGTATATACAATGTATGGTATGCTCAGTTGGCATTTGAATAAATGAATATACGCATGGGAAGTTACTAAAGGGAAATATCTATATAAATGAAGGTTTTCTTTAGTTAAGAATTTACAAGTTAATTTTTCCATTTTTGTTATGCTTTCTTTTTTCATGTTTTTAATAACAAGTGCCATTTTTTCTTTTTTTGTTTTTTGATGTAGGGTTTTGCTCTTGTTGCCCAGGCTGAAGTGCAATGGTGCAATCTCAGCTCACCGAAACCTCCACTTCCTGGGTTCAAGCGATTCTCCTGTCTCAGCCTCCTGAGTAGCTAGGATTACAGGCATGGGCCACCACACCTAGCTAATTTTGTATTTTTAGTAGGGATGGGGTTTATCCATGTTGGTCAGCCTGGTCTTGAATTCTTGACCTCAAGTGATTGGCCTGCCTCAGCCTCCCAAAATGCTGGGATTACAGGTATGAGCCACCACACCCAGCCTTATTTTCTTATTAAAAAGTGGTACAGCCAAGTGCAGTGGCTCATGCCTGTAATCCCAACACTTTAGGAGGCCGAGGTGGGTGGATCACCTGAGGTCAGGAGTTCAAGACCAGCCTCCTGGCCAACATGGTGAAACCCTGTCTCTGCTAAAAATACAAAAGTTAGCTGGGTGTGGTGGCCTGCGCCTGTGGTCCCAGCTACTTGGGAGGCTGAGGCAGAAGAATCATTTGAACCTAGGAGGTTGCGGTGAGCCATGATTGTGCCATTGTACTCCAGCCTAGGCGACAGAGCAAGACTCCATCTCAAAATAATAATAATAGTAATAATAATAAGAAGAAAGATAAATGCATGATAATGCCATTCTCATTGGAATGAAAGAATAATAGGCATTTTTCAGAATATATTTCCAAATTTTATATTTGGATTTATATTTTAAAAGTCCTTCACACTGCTAGGCATGGTGGCTACCACCTGTAATTCCAGCACTTTGGGAGGCTGAGGTGGGCGATCGCTTGAGCTCAGGAGTTTGAGACTAGCCTGTACAATATAGCAAAACCCTACCTCTACAAAAAATACAAAAATTATCCAGGCAGGGCAATGTGTGCCTATAGTCCCAGCTACTCAGGAGGCTGAGGTGGGAGGATCGCTTGATCCTGGGAGGTGGAGGCTGCAGTGAGCCATAATCATGCCACTGCACTCCCGCCTGGGTGACAGAATTAGACTCTGTCTCAAAATAAATAAATAAAAGCCCTTCAGTCTTTATGACACTAATAATGAAGTTATCTCCTCCTTTCTACTCCCAATGCATATTCTAGAATCTTTGATATATAGAATTTTGTTGATTTGGGGGCCATGCGTGGTGGCTCATACTTATAATCCTAGCACTTTGGGAGGCCGAGGCAGGTGGATCACTTGAAGTCAGGAGTTCGAGACCAGCCTGGCTAACATGGCGGAACCCCGTCTCTACTAAAAATACAAAAATTAGCCAGGCGTGGTTGCGGGTGCCTGTAATCCCAACTACTCAGGAGGCTGAGGCAGGAGAATCGCTTGAACCGGGGAGGCAGAGGTTGCAGTGAACTGAGATCGAGCACCAGCCTGGGTGACAAGAGTGAAACTCTGCTGTAAAAAAAAAAAAGAATTTTGTTGATTAACTAAAATTGGAGAGTCATTTTGAGTTAAAGAAAACAAAGGGATACATAGGGCAGAGCATGAGGTCTGGTATCATATTGACCTGGATCTAAAGCTTGGCTTCACTAGTAATTTTGACAATTCATTTAATCTTGTCGAGCTTCAATTTCCTTAACCTTACAGCAGGGATAATAATACTTATGTCAAGGAACTATTGCAAGGCTTAAGGAGGTAATATGTAAAGTTCAAAATATGACACATAGCTAATACCCAGTATTTAATAGTTATAAAATTATGAACAATTGTAAAGAAAAATTTTATTCCAACATTAATCAAGGAACTGATACTTTGAGCATTTAATAAATGCTAGTCTTTAATAAATGATAAGTCCTTTGTGAGGAGCACTTGTCCAAGTAAGTAACTGATTAAATGACATGTTTCAGTTTAACCTATTATTGAAAGTGCAAGTGTTTTATTTCTTTTTAGGTAAAGGATTTATCTTCAGACACACTTCTCCAACAGCATGATGATTTGGATTTGGCTTTGGATAATTGTTATAGTGGAGATACAGTAATAATTTTTCCAGGAGTATATCAAGCTGCAAATCTTGCTTTGTTGACAGATGACATCATTATAAAGGGTTAGCCAGGACATCCTTTGTAGTTTTTTTTATAACAATGTATACTGCACAAATTGGGTATTCTAAACATGCTTCATGGAATTATTAGAAATTACAATAGAATTTATGTTTTACAAAAATCCTTTATGTTCCTTTTATAATTAAGACATGTTCATCATATTTTCTATTCGCTCCATTTATATTTTTACCAAAGTCACTTTTTTCTTATCTATCTTTACTGCTTTTTATATCACTTTACTAAGAAAACCCAGATGTAAAGCTATTATTAAAACATGCTCATCATTTTCTCAAAAAGGCTAATATCACATGCTAACTCACCAAAACAGAAGTAGAAACGCAGAATTTACTAAATTTCTTTTAGGTCTTGAACATATTTAGAAACTTTCTGGCTTTTTGACTTTGAAGTAAGAGTATTCTCATGGTCTAATCAACAACAACAAAGGCTAGACATGGTGCCTGTAACCTATAACACCAGCACTTTGGGAGGCTGAGGCAAGTGGATTGCTTAGAGCCCAGGAGTTTGAGACCAGCCTGGACAACATAGTGAAACCCCATCTCTGCAAAAAATTAAAAAATTAGCTGGATGTGGTGGCACACACTTGTACTCCCAGTTACTTGTAAGGCTGAGGTGGGACAATCACTTGAGCTCAGGTTTCAGTGAGCCATGATCAAGTCACAGCATTCCAGCCTGGGTGACAGAGCAAGATCA